ATTACATGCAACCTATCCTTACATCATGACTATAAATATCCAACAAAATATCCCATTACCAATATATGTGTTTTTTTTTTGTTTGACACATTAGCTATCAGCCTTGCAAATTTGCTCTTTCAAAAAACAAACACAAACAACTTTTGTTGCATAGTAGATTGAACCAATAGTTTCCAGATTTTGTGACTTCATGGATAAGGAAACTTATGAAAACATTTTTTGGAAACTGACATAGAGTTGTCAAATGTTTTCTTTTGCCAAATAAATACACTACAAGGAAAAAATGCCCTGAAATCTAAAATCAGAATCATTTCACAAAAGAACATTTTTTTAGTTTAATACTTAATTTAATCAATGTGACTTGCTGATTTGTCTTGTTTTCTGCTTACATCCTACAGTTTCTGTTCAGGTCCAATATTGATCTTTTATATGTCATCTTTTAGCGGTTATTTCAAAGAAGGTTTGTGAGTAACTAACTCTCTTAGTCATGGAGACAGAGTAGCATAATAATGAAAATCACAGAATCTGGAGCAAAATACTTGTGCTTGAATCTCAGTTTGGCCATTTACTAGCTGTGTGGCCATTGGCAAGTTCCTTAACCTCCCTGTATCTTAGTTTCATAATATTTAATATGGCAATATTAATAGTATCTATCTCAGAGGGTTGTTGTGGGGGTTAACACCATGAGTTAAAATGCACAAAGCACTTAGAACAGTGCCTTGTAAAATTGTATTATATAAGCACTTGCTGTTATTGTTAATCTTTGTATGTCTGAAAAAATGTTCATATTTTGTTCTCATTCTTGAATGATAGCTCAGTTAAGCATGAAATTCTGTGTTGACCATTTTTGCCTTCAGCATTTTCAAGATATTGCTCCACTGTCTTCTTGCATCTACTGTTTAGAAGCCTGCTCCCATTATGATTGACTTTCCTAAGTCAGAATCTCCTCTCTGATTTGCTTTTAAGGTTTTTCTCTTTATATTTGATGAGCTGTGGCTTTACTCTTGAGTGTCCATGTGTGAATTGAATTTCATTTTTCAAACTTCAATCATTGTGTGCTTTATGATTAGGTTCTACTGCAAGTGATTTAAAAAGACTCTCTAAACCAGAGTGGTTTCTACAGGATAGGAGCTTCTTTCTTTCTCACATAAATTAGGCAATCCAGGTGGCATTTAATGACATCAGGGACTCAGGGACTGTTCTGTCTTATTGTTCTACCACTCCCAGCAAGGAGAGTCTCCACGCAAATGATAATATCTCTATTCCAGCTACTAGGAAAGGGAAAGTACAGAGAAAGGCCTACCTCTTCCCTATAAGGGCATTCCTGGAAGTTGCACATGCAGCTCTAGTTATATCCCATAACATACTCGTCTGGTCAAGCCCGCTTCAAGGGAACCAGGAAATGCTGTTTTCATTTGGGCAGCCAATTCCCAGTTTAAAAAGGGTGATTCTATTAATAAGGTAGAGGGGGAGATTTGTTATTGGCAACCAGTAGTAATCTCTTAGAGCTATTTTTATTTCACATTTCTCCCCCTCATATTCCTTCTATTATATCCTCTGGAACTCTTAATAACAGGCTATTGTTTGTGTCTCTTTTTTTTAGATTTCTTTTCATCTTTTTCTGTTGTAGTCTGTGAGATTTCTTCAGCTCTATCTTCCAGTTTACTGGTGTGTGTGTTTTTTTTTCTTAAGCTACTGTCTGAGTTAAGTTTTTTTAAAATGACATTTTTTATCTCTAGAATTTCTATAACCTCCCCTCCCCCACCCACCAATATGGCTATTTGTATGGTATTCTGGCTTTTCTACATAGTTTTTATTCTTTTATGTCTTGAATCATTTTATGCATAATTATCTATAATTGTGCTCTATTGTCTGTAACTGTTGGGGCATGAATTCTGCAAACTCCCTTCCCTAAAAGTTTTCCTTCTTGCAGATATACCCATCTCATCATAGGTATTTCTTTCCATGGTGGCTCATGTATCCAGGGTTGTACAGTGTTAGAATGGGGCAGTTTCATATTTATCTCTACCAGGGTCCTTCAGGTTTCCCTGGTTCAAACCAGTTTTTTGTTGCTTCCTTGGTTTGGGAACTGGCCCTGCTCATGAAGGTACATTTGATTCCCACTCCTGTGTCATCTGCGTGGTAATCAGTCCACTTCCTCCCCTAATTCTCAGGCTAATGGGAGGAGGTATCTAGAGTCCTTTTCACAGCAGTAGAGTTCTTCTAGCTAATCCTGGCTCAATGCTTAGCTCAGGCTCCATGGCACATTGGGGCCTCAAGTCCCCCTTCCAGCTCAGCTATTAAAATTCCTGCCACTGAGTTCAACTTCTGATTCCACTTCTTCAGTTGCCTATTTAGCCTCACCTCTTGCTCACTACTGTCGTGTTCTGTTTCTGGCTCCCAAGGATTTCGATTTCTTGTTTCAATGCTCAGTTGTACATTTCAAATGTTTTTGTTACGTTTTAATGGACATTTATCTGTGTTATAAATGACGGGTGCTTCCCAAATCAACTTAGTTCATTATAAATAAAAAGTCTAACAAAGAGTATCTTAGATCCCCCAAAGCAGTAAAATTATCATCTCTCAATAAAAGCATTGAAAATTTTTTTCTTGATGCTTCTTCCATGGGCCTTTTGTGTTTTGTGTTGTGTTGTTTTTTTCATTTGTCCTGTTGGTTGGCATTTGGAAATGAATGGACTGGGCATTGAGAAACCAAGGTTCTGGTTCTCGCTTTCTTGCTTGCTAACTGCAAACATGGGGAAACCACTAAAAGTCTCTGAGCCTATAATTAACCATAAAATTGGGATATTATTATTTGCTCTGCTCATAGCATTATCATATGGATCACATGAGATAATGGATTTGAAAATGCTTTCAAGCTTAAAACATACAAACGTATGGTATTAGTAATAGCAATGTTATTAGCACATTCATTAAGGTAGTCTTAAAATATTAAAACATATGAAAGTTCATGTTTTATGTTTGGTTTGGTAAGCTGAAAAAAAAATCCTGTATCTTGGTAAGGGCTTTTTATTCTACTAAAATACCTAATAAGGGAATTACTTGGAAAACATTTTTCTTGTGAAATTTAAGAGTACTGTCTGTACTGACAGGCTGTTATAACTTTAATAGGCTATGAAATTCATCGTAGAGAGACACACCCTTATCAGTTAAAAGAGAGACTTGAACCTGGAAATCATCATTGCATTTTGTTATTATGTGTTTTCTCAAACTATGGATACTGAAAGTTCTATTACTATTTTGTGAAGGACCATAAATATTTTTCTAATGCAGAAAAGATGTCTGTCCTCTTATTTGAAAATGTTGAGAACCACCAACCTAGCCTATGGTAGTGGTCCACTAACTAGGCTATTCCTCTATTTCTTACTAAAACATATTCTCTAAGAAAGAGGAATGTGTTACCCTGGCCAGTTTTCTCAATGGTTAGAGCATCAGCCTGAGGACCAAAGGGTCATGTGTTTGATTCCCGGTCAAGGGCATGTACCTGTGTTGCAGGTTTTGATTTCCGGGCCCGGTCGGGGTATGTGCAGGAGACATCCAGTTGATCTGTCTCTCTCACATTGATGCTTCTATCTCTTTCTCTCTCCGCCCCCCTCGACCCCTCCCTTCCATTCTCTCTCTAAGAAAAAAAAATCAATGGAAAAAATATCCTCAGATGAGAATTTAAAAAAAAAAAAAGGAAGACTGTGTCAATTCTCAGTGATGTTTGTCAGTCAACTGTGAGGCTTTATTGCAGAGAATTTATTTACTAATATTTAAGTATGTAGTTTTCAAATGATTTACTTAAAAGGAAATTAGAAATTGACTCAAAATGGCAGACAGATATACACATCTGCTTAGAAAAATACATATAGATAGATATAGAGAATAAAATAGAGTTTAATAGCATTGAAAAACAGGGAAACTGACTATCAGAATAAACACATTTTAATAAATTTAAAAAGCTATTACCAGAGAACAAACGTGTGGAGGAACAAAACTAAATGTAACGAAATCTGACACATGTATAGCGTGTGTGGCGATGACGGCTGTGGAGGTGGGTCTTACAGAGCTCTGCTGAGCGTCAGTGGATATCAGGAAGGAGAAGGGACCCTGGGAACATTGATCAATTGGGGAAATTGGGGAACCACATGTGGAGCAGCACCTCTGTTTCCCCTTCCCCGGTCTGCGGTGCTAAGCAATGGGCAGCTGTGGTCTGAATCGAATCAGACACTGGGTCTGGAAAAGCAAGGCAGAGCCTGAGCAGCTCCTGACCCCCAGGAGGATCAGAGAGCCTCAGACAGATCCTCCTCAGAGCCTGCCTGCCGGCATAGCCCAGCCCTGTCCCAAAGCCAGGCTGTGATGGACAGAAACAGCTTCCGCTGATCAGGATCTGGAAATCTCATCCTCAAAGCAGCGTATCCAACCAAGAAGCACCAAGCGTTTAAGGAAAAAGTACAATACCAAGAGAGTGAGGCATTGCGCTAAAGACTATAGTATTATTCTAAGGGGATAAGCGAGGCTGTCCTACCTATACTATAGGAAGAGTCTTGTGTGTTTAGAAAGCATGCATAGATTTTGGAAATTTAAAATATAATACTAAAATTTGTATAAACTTCAATAGGTGGCCCAGCATAATAATGGACAAGGCTGAAAAGCAAATTAATAGAAAGTGAGTGTCAAGGGGCTCTTGCATCGTTTCGTGGTAAAGTACCATGGGAAGGATAATAAGAGGAAAGTAAAAGAGGCATAGAAGATAAATCCAAGTATTCCATCATCCAGCGAGTAGCTGTTCCAGAAGGAACGAAGAGAGAGAATGGAGAGGGGTGGAAATGATAGAAGAGGCTAGAGAATAAAAATCCTTAAGACCACGCTTAGAATTCTGGTATATTGTAATTGTCTTTTTAAAAATTCTCTCAGTTATGTAAATTGTGTGTTTTGAGGTTATTGGTAAGAGAAAAGGCAAATGCAAGAGCCTATATGATGATTCTGAAATTTCTCTACGTTCCAAGGGTTATGTCTTTATCTGGAGAAGGTACTTTATCCTGACTTTTTATTGGCGGAGTTGAAGGATTGTGCCTGGTGATCAGAGCATCCGCTGCAGTCGTTGGAGCGCCGGCGGCAGACTCCCTCCTCACAGGACTCGTGGGGCCGGCCGTGGCCGCCTCCCTGACGTCTGTTTCTGATAAGGGGGTTTTCGTCTCGAACAGCTCTGGGGACGTTTGTTGGCCGACACCCGGTGAGGTCATTTTGCTCTCCGCTGAGTTTCCTTTCTCTGTTTTTTGGGGCTGCTCTGATGAGCATGGCCCTGGAGCATTCAGTAATGCCGCTGTTCCCTGAGGAGCTCTTGGCCTGCTCCCTGGTTTTATCTCTATCTGCATGAAAACTCCATGCCGCTGGAAAGGAAAACAAAGTTGACATTAACCAGGGAACACAAGTTGCTGGGACTATGAACTGAATTCATGTGTTAAGTCAAGTCCTGGTGATTCAGGCACTTATATCTCTGCTGCTTTTTTTTTTTCTATCTCTGCTTCTTCATTGGCTGTCACCTTCATCCCAAACTTATTGGTGAACTTTTAAACAAATTATGAAATAGATGCACCAGGAAATGAAGAGAAGGGAAAAGTAGAAAGTCAGAGAAGCAGCACCTCATTATCTGCCATTCTCAACTCCTATCCCTTGGATTGTATAAGACGATTCATATCAAATTTTATTTCTTGCTCTGTAGGTTGCTATGGATACAGTAGAAACTACAGTTCATAGACGTGAGGATTTATGATTGCATGCCAAATGTCTATTGGTTCCCACAAAAGACTTATAGTGAAGTATGAAAACAAACATTTGTAGTTGGAAATAATCCAGCAACTGACTATTATTATATTTGTTTGACTTTGTAAACCTTACATGCATCCCCCTGCAACACATATGTAAGCATATCAAAAAGTTTATCAGACTGCTTTGCTATTACCTTAAGTGAATGATTTTAATAATTTAAACCAAATTCTAAGCACTGTGATCCAAAATTATGACATCATTGTTTAGTTCTAACTATGACGTGGTGGAGATTTTATAATAACCCTGTTAACTTATTTAAATCGACTTTGAGAAAGATGACTATGACTTTAAAAGGCTTAAGGCTCTATCATAAATATATCGCATCCTAAAGTATTAAATAATTGATTCTAAATACTGTCTCACCTTACACCTCATGGGCTCACTGGGAATTTTCCTGGAATCATATTGATGTATAAAGGAGATACGTTCTATAAAATTCTTTTGAAGTTCTGTGGATGCATTGGGAGAGGCAAGTGGAACTAAGGGGGGAAAAAGAGATTTGTGAAGTCAGGGCAAAAATTAGATTTGTGGATGGATATAAAATCAGCATTCATAATATTCATGCTTTATAAAAATGCTAATGAAACCAAGTTCTCCTAAGTTGGAAGGTTGCCACACACATCTACATAATAAATATGATTCAGCATTCTTTCTCTATGAAAGGAACCAAATCAAAGCCATCAGATTAGCCCCACATGTGAAATTACTTGTAATTTAAAAAACTATTAATGCAATAATGACGTTAGAAATCTGTTAAGTACATTACTTGCACAGATACCAACCAAAATTTGGGAAAAGCATACGGACAATATGTTTTTCAACTTATTTTTGCTCCTAGAAAGGCTCTGAGAAATTTATGCCCAAGTTGCTCCCAGCTAGCACCAACAGAATGAACTGGAAGACCCTGGGGCTGCTGCAGTTGTAGTTGAAAACATAATTTTTTAAATTTCCCATTGACAGAAGCTCTGCAAATTTGCCAGAGTATTAAACCCTGACTTGAAAATAATTTTTCAATCTGGGTGATAGGCATATAAGGGACTTTACATTGGTCTCTCTACCCTATGTTTAATACTTTAAATAATTTTTAAAACTCACTTTATTTTTAGCATACAAGGTTATGTAAGGAGTAAGGGTACTTCCCAATTTAGTGACATAAAATTCAGTCAAGCTGCAAAATTTTAAAAATTCTTTCTTTTATAAAAAAATATGTACATAAGACCTTATGTATACCTACCATATCTATGAAATGATAACAGAAGGCTGAAAACAGGGTGTTTGTATGGAGAGAGAATTACCTGGCTGGATGATAGAGGTGGAGAGCGGTAGATTCACTTTCACTGTATATTCTGTTTTACCATTTGAATTGTGTACTGTATGAGTGTATTAGCTGTTAAATATAAACTTAAAATATTTTTCTTGATTTTTTCCATCACTATTGATCCCCCATAACCTCCTCTACTTCTGCCCACCTCCCTTACTCCCTGCAAACACTACAGTGTTGTTTGTGTCCAAGAGTTCCTTCTCTTTTTTCTTTCTTTCTTTAAATATGCCTTTAAAATTAGGTCGGATATACAGGAAGGAAAAATATGTTAGTAAATTCACATTTACTAAACATTCATGAATTCAATTCAATATTCAGACACTGATATAAACTAATGTTACCAACAAAAATGAGAGTTCAAATATATATTACATGATATGAAATGGCTATCTTTTCTCAGTAGGTGAACAGTGCTAACTGATATTTTCTTGATTTTTAACTGAGGTCAGATATTCAAAACTCATTTTCTACTTAATCATTACCTTAAATTTAGGATTTGCTAGCACATAAAAGAACAGCAGGTGCCAAAGATTTACTAAAATTTGTGGACAAATATGACATTGAAAAAATTCTAACCATAACATATTTTTTTTGCTACCAATTGGGAAAAGATTACTAGTTTGGGGATGCGTGCCTTGGTCCAGCACACAGAAACACAGTTTGATAACTTTTTGAATAAAATAAAGCAGCTCTAAATTTAGGCCTTAATCAGAAGAGGTTAATGAAGTATCCAAAGCATGGCCTTTGGGATAAGATAGACATGTTTTCACACTTGGCTCTATCACATTTCCTAGCTGTGAGATTTTGAAGAAAATCACTTAATTTCATTGAGACTCATTCCCTCCTTTCTAAAAACTGGGATAATAATTTGCTTTCAGAGTTGTGAGGATTAAAGACAAAATCTCTAGGATGCTGGGGTCAAAATAGAGAGGGTCTTCACAGTTAGGCAGGGGCCAGCTCTTTGGTATCCTGACAAAGGGGGAAGCCATGGAAGGAAAAAGAAGCATGAGTCTGATGAACTACCAAAAAACTGTAAGGCTTCAGCGAACTGCTATGAAGGGTTGATGGCAGCTTGCTGGAGGGTAGGAGGTCAGCCAATAGAGAATAGGTTGGGGAAAGCTTTTGAAATCTGTTCTTGGCTTTCCCCCACATTGCCTTGGGAAGACTGTTGCTTGCCCCGGGCCTGCAGAAAATGGCAGAAACTGTCTAGCCATCTATTGTCAATTTAGTAACATCAAAACAGCACGGAAGTCCCTCTAGGGCAGCGGTTCTCAACCTGTGGGTCGCGACCCCTTTGGTGGTCGAACGACCCTTTCACAGGGGTCGCCTAAGACCATCCTGCATATCAGATGTTTACATGACGATTCCTAACAGTAGCAACATTACAGGTATGAAGTAGCAATGAAAATAATTTTATGGTTGGGTCACAACATGAGGAACTGTATTTAAAGGGCCAGAAGGTTGAGAACCACTGCTCTAGGGGTAAGATGATGATAGAAAAAGGGAGATGTATGTTGCCCCTTTGGGCATTTCCTCCACTATTCCCCTAGCAACCGTCAATGCTGGGGGATTAAAAATACCAAGAGATTGCCTTCTCTCAGGGATGCCTCTTTCTAAGAGTGTAAAGGGAAAGAAGTGGAGGCCCGACTTGAGGACTGGTCCAGACAACAGCTGGAGAGGGTCCAAATGGTTTTGTGGGGACTGATGCTCCCAGCCTGCACCTTATTTTCTTTCCTTAAAGTCACTGGGAGGCACATAAGCCAGACCTTGTCTTTAGCCTTTGTCTACACAGGGTTGCTGATTCCCTTCAGGGAACATGAGCTAAGATAAACTAGACAGATGTTATTAAATAAAGACAACAAAATTTAATATATATGTCATTTGAAGCATCATTACTAGAATCAATGCACTAAGAATTTAAGCATAATATCCTCAAAACTATAGATGGTATTATAAGATGAAGCAAGAATTAGAGGCCATAGAAATGAATCACATAAAATATTAGAAAAAAATGTAATAATTAAAATAAAAAAGATGAGAACAACAGCAAGATTCATGAAGTAGATAATCAGACGAAGAAGCTCTCCCAGAAGGCAGCATATATTTTTATCTCTTTATTCCTAAAGAAATAAAAATGTAAAATAGAAGCTAAGAAACATGGACAGTAGAAGTACCAAAACTAAAATTCAGGAGACCTGGAAGAGGAAATAGAAGGAAATATTTAAAGAAATAATGATGATAAATATCTAAGAATTAAAGTTCAAAGACCTCAGATTGAAAGGGCTCACAGATTACCACACAGGTAGCAAGGCCAGGAATAAGTGAGACAGGCCAGTCCCATGGGATGCAAAATTTAAGGAAGCACATGTGTGATCCTGGGAGTGAGTGCCTCCTTAAATTTTTGTGCCCTCAGCTTCTTATTGCCTCACTCTCCTCCCAATCCTGCAGGGTAGATAAGTAAACACTCACATCTAAGACATTTATAGACATTTTCATCTGAGACAAAAAAAAAATTCTAAATGCTTTTAAAGAGGAGAGGTAGATTGCCAACAAAGGAGTAAGAAGTAGATTTATATCAAATTGCACAACAACATTGGACACAATGGTAATTTACTTAATATTTTTTAAATATTAAAGGAAAAAGGAATTATTATACCCAACTAAACTGTTATTTAACTCTAAAGCCACAATAAAAAATATTGGGAGGTAAAGAAGGCCTCAAAATGTTTTCCCCTAAAATAGACCTACTTTGAAAAATTCCTAGAGGAAGAACTCAATAGAAATAAATCAAGGAGGGTACCTAAGGTATATAGAAAATTAAAATTTTTATTTTCTTAAAAAGAGAAAGACTAAAGGACAGAAAAATAATATTCACCATAACAACTCAGAACTAAAATTCTGCTGTTTAACATATTAATTGAGAATCTGGTGAGTATTATTTTAAAAAGAAAAAAAGTAGTATAATGATTGCAAAGGAAAAGAAAAACTCATTATTTGTAGGTGCTAAAACTACCTGAATAGAAAAGCCACTAGAATCAATAAATTATGAGAATAAGGGTGTGACAAAGTAAGCAGGTGAGTGTATAAAAATCAAAAGCATTTTGCTGTAATAACGGTAACCTACTAGAAAATAAAATGAAAAATAAGATACATTCTCTATAGGAAGAAAAAAATAACAAAGAATTAGAAATTAACAAAGAATCCAGAAGCTCTCTATCAAGAAAAATTTTAAACTTTTAACTTAAACAAAAAAAGTAGAAATAGACTTTCCATACACTTAGATAGAAAGGGATAGTATATTACTGCAAAGGTGACCATTTTTTCTAAATTCGTCTATAATGTCAATACAACCGAATACAAGTCTTGCTGGATATTTTGAGGAATGTCATGAGTTCCAAAGTTTAAATAGAAAAATAAAGGTCATAAATAAATTGGTCAACTCTGAAAAAGGAAGAGCAAAGACTGGGACTTTCCCTGTCGGGTATAAAGACAAACTAAAAATCTACGTAATGAAAGCATTTCAGTATTGACCAACTGAAAATTAACCTAAGGAACAGAGCTCAGAGACAGGCCCATTTCTATAGTGAACCCTAACATACAATGAAGGAGGTCCCACAAGTCAGTGATGGGGCTGTAGATTGTTTAGTAGACGGTATGCAGAAAACTCCATGGAGAAAAATGGAATAGTTCCCCTATTTTATACGCACATATAGGTAGAATCTAGGATTAAAGACCTAATTATGGAAGGTAAAATTATAAAATCAAGAGAAGAAAATATAGCCCTAACTGTTTTAGCTCAGTGGATAGAGCGTCGGCCTGTGGACTGAAAGGTCCCAGGTTCGATTCTGGTCAAGGGCATGTACCTTGGTTGTGGGCACATCCCCAGTGGGGGGTGTGCAGGAGGCAGCTGATCGATGTTTCTCTCTCATTGATGTTTCTTTCTCTCTCTCTCCCTTCCTCTCTGTAAAAAAATCAACAAAATGTTTTTTTAAAAAGAGAAGAAAATATAGGAGAAAATTTTTGTGACTTAAGGGTAGGAAACCTTATCATAAACAATCAATGCACAGCCCATAGGTGAAAACCTGATAAATTTAATTACATCAAAATGTAGGATTCCTATTCAATGAACAACACTATGGGCAAAGCTGGTAGAGAAATAGTAGGATGGGAGGAAATATTTGTAACATGAAAACTGAAAGGGACAGGAAATCATTTCCTTCATTCAGTAAAGAGTGAGGGCAATTTAAAGATATTTTCAGACAAAGCTAGGTGAAGAGGTGGCCACTTCTACACTCTCACAGAAAGCACGATTAAGGACATTATAGTAGTCTGTTACATAGGTGGCCCCAATGAATCAGGCATCCCAGTCTTCACATCTTTGAACAATCCCCTCCTAGTGAATATGAACTGGCCTGGTGATTAAATTTAACCAATAGGATTTGGCAGAAGTAACATGGTGCCAGTTCCAGGTATAAACCTCAAGAAAGCCTTGCAGCTTCTGCTTTTGCACTTGGGGGAGTCCTGAGCTGCCATGTGTGAAGTCCAGCCACTCGGCTGGAGAACTTCCATGGAGAGACCACATGGAGATGGAGAGGAGCAATCATTCCAGTGTCTTACCTGAGTCCAGTCCTCAGACCACCTGCCAACTGAATGCAGCCACACAAGCACCCACCAGCAAGACCAACCAAAGAGCTGCCCAGCTGAGCCCAGTGCAGATTGCAGAATCACGAGCAAATAAAATGATTGTTCTCTTAAGCAACTAAATGTTGGAGTGCGTTGTTATGCAGATAACAGAAATATTTCAGAAGGAAGTCAAATAAATTTAATGAATCACCTTTTATGTAGTGATCTAGAACCTCTCAGAATTTCAAAAATAATAACTCAAGAAAATTTCTTCATGGGGACGAATAAAAGGAGAGGAAAGGTAACCTGAGCTATTATAGAGAGAAATTTCTTACTCGGATATTATGCCTATCAGAATTAGGCATAACTACCATGTTCACTTATGCAAATATATGAGTCTTTTAAAGAAGCCCTCTGCAGTGAAGAACATTTAAGTGGGAAAACATCAAAGAAGATATTCAATTTCTTACTGGTTGGTTGCTCTACATAAGAATTCAAATCAGACCCAAACTAATTACTTTAAAAAGAAGCCTTGTTAGATGAGGCTTGCAAGAAATAAGGCAAAGTCTATGAAGAATGTTTGAAATCCACTTTCTGTTTCTTAGAAACTTAATCTAACTAAAATAGGAATTTTCTAAACAAGGATACAACAAGCAAGTTGGTGCTAGCCATCTATATTTTATAAAAAAACAACAACACACACACAAAGATTTATTCAAATATACAACTTACTCCTCATTGGAGGAAACTTAGCAGCTTTTACTTTGACAAATTTTCTTAACATTTTGCTTGTGTCTACTTAAAAAAACATGAGTGATACTTTTCTATTAGACATCCCATTCTTCTAAATAGTATTTATTTTGATCTTATATAAAAAGATTACTAATGGCCCTAGCTGGTTTGACTCAGTGGATAGAGCGTCAGCCTGTGAACTGAAAGGTCCCAGGTTCGATTCCGGTCAAGGGCACATGCCTAGGTTGTGGGCTTGACCCCCCAGTGGGGGACTTGCAGGAGGCAGCCGATCCATGATTCTCTCTCATCATGGATGTTTCTCTCTCTCCCTCTTCCTTCCTCTCTGAAATAAATAAAAATATATTTAAATTGTTTTTAAAAGATTATTAATGTAAAAATAATAGTACAGATTTTCAAAATATAGTGGAAAAACAGAAACTTGAACATAACTATAGCAATTGTTATTGTTACCCCTTGGTGCAAAAACAGCAACACAAATTAAAACCTAGTTTAGAAAATTATTTTTAACCACTGTATCTGAGTTTGAAATTCAAAAGAATGTTAAAATATCAAGTAGTCAATAAACAGCCACAGTATCATATAAATATGAAATACTTCCCTCACAAATTAGATCAGCTTTTCCAATTTATAAAGATTTATTACATAAAACCAAAAGTGAATACTTATTCTTGCAGGGACTCAGATATGATGGAGCAGAGTCATGTGTTGAATTGGCTGTGGAAGGCAGCCAGGAAATTGCGTGGTGGTACAAGACATAAAGGGCACTTTCACTGTCAGCACAAGATGAAATGCCAAAGACCAGGCGTAATTAAGTGGGCTGATGGAACAGAATGACTAGGAGATGACTTACAATTGGCATTAATGCATGTTTACATACACATTTTCCATGTCCACATGCATAAGCTGGCATATACAGACTAGTTTATGTAAGTACTTCAAAATGTTACATTAAAATATTTTAAAGTCATGCTCATCTAGAATCCAGATACCATCTAAAATATGAATAAATTACAAGCCTGTATTGGTGTGTATGTTAGTTGAAATTACAGTATGACTTTATATAATCTGTTGGATGATATGTATTTCTCATTAAACTAATCAATAAACATTGGTTGACTCTGGGCATTGTGCTAGGACTTGGGTACAATAATGGTCTTGCCAATGAGAAATACCAATGAGAGAGAGACAGAAGGTGAAGGAGGAGGAAGGAGGAGGGAGGGAAGGCAAGTGGAGGAAGAAAAGAAGACGAATATGCCAGGTTCCCAAAGTTAGATTCCAGTTCAACACCTAATTGGTACAGTGCAATAATTAATAGAAATAGCTACCATTTGTTGTCTGCTATGTACTAAGCATGGTGGTAGGCACTTTGTTTCTCATGACAAACAAGAAGTAACTGGAGGACCTAAAGGAGGAGAGTGATATCATTTATGTTTTTAAAAAATCCTTCTGACGATGGTGTGGATAACAAATTATAGAGGAGAAAGGATGGGGGTGGGGAAGCAGTGGCTGCACTACACTGGCAAGAAGATTTGGGATATATTTTGAAAATTGAAATGTCAAGGTTTGCTGATAGACTGGATGTGGAGGGTAGGGAGTTTTAGAATGACTTCTAGATTATCAAAACTTGAGCATCTGGGGGCATAGAAGCGACATTTATCAAGATGGGAAAGGCTGGTGGAGGAATAGGTTTGGATGGGAGAAATGAGAAGGTCTACTCCAGCCACGCAAAATTTGAAAAGGAGGCTAGCTAAGAAGAGATGTCAAGTAGGTGGTTGGCTATGTAGTCTTGAAGTTCAGTGAAGAGGCCAGGGCTGGAGAGAAAATTGGTTCGTATATTAGGTCCCTTTTCTTTAAGCTTAATCTTCTGTTCTTTGTTTCATCTACTTTGGGTAGCATCTCTTGAGTGCTCATGTTAAATAATGATATTACACCCTTCTCTTCTATGCCTCATCTTCTGTCAACTGTATATTTACTTTTCTTGTGAAGGCAGGTAACATAATTCTATTCTATAAAATTTAAATTCTGTTCAGTGTTTAAGTTTTCCATATTGTGTTTCTAGATTGATGCTAAAAGTTGAGACTTGCTAAACAGCACTTAAATATAATTGAATTTTGTTCATTTATGGTCCAAATATTGTGCAGGACTACATTTCTTTCTCAGTGGGTTCAATGCCCAGCACCACTTGAAAACAAATTTCTAGTGTCCATGTCATACAATTCCTCTTTTCATGGTTAAAAAATTACTACTCCTGAGAACTTTGTTTATGCTTAGAATAAGGGTTTTAAGAGTTCTGAATATATAGACAGAGAGATATATATATGTATATGTATATGTGTGTGTGTGTGTATATATATATATATACACACACACACACACATACATACATATATACATACTAGAGGCCTGTTGCACGAAGAGATTCGTGCAATAGGCCTTCCTTTCTCCTGGCTGCCAGCACAGGTTTTCCTCCAGCACCCAGGCCTTCGCTCCGGCCAGAGCCACCTTCCGTCTTCCGTCTTCGCTGCTCTGGCTGGAGCCGCCTTCAGTCTTCCATCTTCGCTGCTCCGGCTCGCCTTCAGTCTTCCCTTCGCCGCTTGGAGCCTACGTATGCAAATTAACCGCCATCTTTGTTGGTGATTAATTTGCATATCGCGCCGATTAGCCCATGGGAGGTGTAGCAAAGGTATAGTCAATTACCATGTTTGTCTATTATTAGATAGGATATATATATATATATATATATATATATATATATATATATATTCAGTTTTTGCAGAACTTATTTAACCACTTCCTGTTGTTTTTTTTAATTAAATTTATTGAGGTGACATTGGTGATAGGGTCATGTAGGATTCGAATGTACATTACTATAACACATGATCTGTATATTGCATTGTGTGCCCACCACCATAGACAAATCATCTTCTTTCACCATATATTTGGCCCCTTTACGCTCTTCCACCCACTCATCCCCTTCCCTTTAGTAACCACCATGCTGTTCTCTATTTCTCTGAGTTTCTGTTTGCTATCCCACATATGAGTGAAATCATATGGTTGTTAGCTTTCTCTGACTGACTTATTTTGCTTAGCATAATATTCTCAAGGTCCATCCATGTTGTCGCAAATGGCAGTATTTCATCTTTTCTTATGGCTGAGTAGTATTCCCTGGCATATATGTACCACATCTTCTTTATCCAGTCCTTTATCGAAAGACACATTGGCCGTCTCCATGTGTTGGCCACCCTGGGGTTTTTGTTTTTGTTTTTGAGCATCTATAAACATCACAAAAACTAGTACCCTTCAGATTGCACTTTGAGAAATGCTACCATATAGTATTGCCTACTATTTTAATAGTTGCAATTTTTAAAGTTTGGTGCAATAACGAGCAGAATGCTACTAAGTTTCTGACTTGGAGGCTAGTGTTTACTAATCAGTACGATTTGTATGATGGTATATTAAACGTGTTTGGAGATAGGCTGTCCACAAGGAAGGGATAAGGAAAAAAACTTGTCAAGGGCTGCACTGGCATATCTATGTTCACCTTCTGTAGAGAAGAGGTTTTCTCAGGAGGTGCCAGCAGATCTAATACATCTTAAGTTGATGGGAGTAACCTGAGATCATCGAGAAGAAGTTTTACCACTGCGAACCTTACCTATTCCACAAGAAGGCTTTTGCAACTTGCTGTGCTTGACTGGCAAAACCAAAGGACACGTTGGTTTTTGAAAGTCACTCCTCTGGGTGCTCTTAGTATCATAAGGTGGTTGGAAGTGATGCTCAGGTTCTTTACCATGTGGCCACCAGTCATCCTTTATGGAAACAGATTGGAAACGTAAAATTGGCTACTGTAGGCCATGTTTGTGTGCTGCTTAAGGGCTTTTAATGCTCAGTCATTTGGTTCCACAAGTCACTGGATATTCTAAAACAAAGTTCTGAAATCTAATATATTTTCACAAAGACTGTATTTCTTAAAAGACACCTAAAAATGAAATATCATACATTTTTAGCTAAAATACAGATGCTAAATTCTTAAACTACCTTCTATTAACAGGTGGATTTATAAAAATAAACAAAATAGTTATATTTCTGTTTTATACAATTTTATTATATACTAGAATCCTGGTGCATGAATTTGTGCATGGGTGGGATCCAGCTGGCCTGCCCCAATCGGGGTGATCGGGGGTGGGGCCGGCTGGGGGGGAAGAGCCATGGGCAGTTGCTGGCTGGCCCCACCCCCTGGTCGAACTCCCGGTCCAACACCTGGTCGAGGGGAAAATTTGCATATTAGCCTTTTATTATATAGGATGTACACATGTATGCCTATAACATTGAACACAATTTAATTTAAAAATTATGTTCTATACTTTTTATTACGACAATACAAATAATGTCTTATCATCTAAGAGGGTGGATTTCAAAGCTTTTTGTCCATGACCCACACCATGAACTACATTTTGTGTCCTGTAGGAGCACACAGTGCATACACATGCATAAAACTCTTTTAGTTTCACAAAACAATTCTCTTACTACATGCAGTGCAGTTGGCTACTTTTCTATTCTATTTTACTGCTTTTCTGTTTTATTTCACAATACCTGTTGCAACCCACATGACTTATAACTAATGGCTTCACTTGAAAAACTTTGTTCTAAGTGGAAGTATCTCTGATGTTACTGAATTTTTTATGAGAAACCCTGACCTAATACACAGGAAAGGGAGAAGTGATAAGCTCTTCATTAGCATGTAAGACAGTTTGATCTCTTAGAAGCTGAGAAAGCTGGGAGGGAATTCCCTCACAGTTACTTGACTTAATTCTGACTAAAATGTTTGTGTGTTTTTTTAGAAACTGATTGATCAGGTACCAGTGAGAGAACCTTGAGAGAAGGCAACTGTGACACTTAGGAGTTCTTGGTTATTATTAGGCAATGAAACCTTAGGTATCATCAAACACCCACCTTAGCTTTAAGAGAGGAGATCAACTTTTTAAAAAATCCGCTATGGTTCCACAATCAAAGACTTAATAAGTAAAACTCTGACAATGCAATTAAAGCTACGTTGATATAAGCAGCAAGAGGCATCTAAAGAACTCCATGTGGCCGCATGGGAGTCAGCTCTGAAATGAGTTTCGTTTCTAAAAAGACAGGCAAGTATAGAAGAGGAGCACACAATCAAACTCAAAAGAAATAATTTAATGCAGTCAACTTGTCAGAAAATTGTCAAGACGCTTAGATAGGAGAAATTCATGAATATGCCCACGGCAGCAAAAGGGTTTTCTGTGGGGGGAAATTCTATCGCAGCAAGAAATCAAGAAAAGGCTAAAAGTTCGGAGAAGAGTACACCCTGCAGAGCATTAAGTCGGGCCTACTCAACATCAGGTTCTTTGTGAAGGGAGATTATCTTCAAACTGAAGAAGATGGGATGAACAGGCATCGTTGAAGAGAGAGTTAGACCTCACTTTGCAACTTGAATTGAGCCTTTAGGTCCTAAATTCTGTTTCTTTGTTACTAATGTTGTGGCCTCACCCCATAACAAACAGAATTTCTGGAGGATGAAGCCAAGAAATCAGGATTTTTAAAAGATTCGCAGGTGATTCTAATGTGCAGCCAAGGTTGAGAACCACTGCTTTAGGACAATGACAAATTGTAACCAGAGGTAACCAATAAGTTTTCAGAGATCAAAGAAATACAAGAAAGTAGGGACTTTGGGAGAATAGGAGAAACCAGCTGCCTCATGTTTCAGAATGGGTTAAAAGGTGAATTACAAAACATAAAACTATTTGATGTAGGCCCTAGGAATTCTAGAGCAGATTACTGAAAATAGTCATACCCGACTGTTGTCAGCATGCCTCGTTCTTGCAGCTCCACGATTATGATGGTGCTTATTATGCCCAGAGGTCTGGGACGTGCAGGCCTTCTCTCACTTGCTCTCACCACAGTGCTGTGAGTAGGTACACCCACTTTACAGATGAGAAAACTGCTGGCAGATCAGGTAACCTCGCCAGGGTCTACCACCCACAGGCAGCAGAGCTGCCACAGTGCAAACCCCCGCCCACCTGTGCACGCACTGCTTTCCCTGCCCCGTTGCTGCATCAAATCAGCTGGGGAATGCAAAGCCAGAGGAGCACAAACGCACTTAAATTATTTCAAAAATAAAAATAAAAGGGTGCCAAGTGAGCGCCCTGAGGAAGGTCTCCTATGATAAGAGTGCATCTTCTTTTATTGACCAGAGATTTTGCCAACACCCAGGAACTGGGGGACTAACTCTGGGATAAGTGAACCACTAGGGAACGCCTGGCAGGCTTCAATTCTTTTTCTCTCAAAACTAGAGCAAAAACTATATTTAAAGCAGAAATACTGGTTCACCTTTCAAGAAGAAGTCTTTTGAATTTAGAATTTTACCAAAACGGTCTCTTTAGTTTCACCAAGGAAATAATGAATAGTTTTTCTTCAAGTGTGATTGACTTTAAGATCCCAAAGTTGGAGAAAGTGTCCTGGCTAGTTAATTGGATGAATTTTCACTTCAGCGGGATGAAATCCCACAGTTGAAAAAAAAATATATCATTTGTTTCTGGAGAGTCTGCCCCGTCCCTTAAAAGTCTGGCTTGTTCCTGGAATAGTGAGAGGGCGTTTGCGCCCATGCACATGGGCTTGCCTTTTTGATCCAAGCATTTGCTGATAAGAAATTATGATTAAAGGTATAGGTGGAGGTTTGTTTTATTCTTCACCTCATGCTAAAGGGAAAGACGAAGAATTTACTGCCCTGACTACCATCGCTTACATTGAATTTTGAGGGCTGACAGAGTGATTGATGATGAACTTGGTCAGTCTGGGTAAAGTCCTCTAGCATGATAGTTTCGTGTAGGCTTTGGAGATCAGGCCACATCTGGCAGATGGTGGGAGGGGTTTTGCCTAAAAAAAGATGGTTGTTCCCAGTTCAAAACTTTGGACCCAAAGAGAAAAGGAAGTCCTCCCTTCCAAGCCTGTCTCCTTTCCTGCCCCAGGATGACAGTGCCTGGGCCCCATGGTAGGAAGATGCCTGGAGATTCCTAATGATGAGGCTCCCTTTAACCCCTGACCCTGGAAGGCCTGACGGCTGGGGTGCCGTGGACCCGGGTGCCGTGGACCCCTGAGCCCCATTTGGAAACCACTGTGCAGCTGTCTTTATGTTATATCTGTGTTCTCCCTAAGCCTTTAGAAATTTTCCGTTCTTCGGGAAGTTAAAGGAGAATCCTCAGGGGATATAAGTAGTAAAAGCAAATAAGACATCCTGGGAAAACCAGTTCCAAGAAGCAGGAGGTGGTAAGCCGAGCTCTACACCAGCAGCCACAGTGGCCTGGCCAAGACAGCTGCTGGTGGGAGTGAGTTGTGGACCATATACGTGAAGGACCCCCGGGAAATGCGGGCTTTTACTAACACCTTACTCACAGGCCATCACATTTTACTAAGGCAGCTTAGTGGCATTAAACAAACATTAGAGTCACATTCATGTCAGGGATTACTACATCTCCAGTCTGCTCTGGATACCGGGAGTGCTGAAAAATACCTCTTTGTAAGCAATTTGTAATGTCCCAACAAGTTATTCCTGAATGGTGGTCTGTGGAACACCAGCTGTGTAGCATATGAAGAGGTGCTACATGAAAGAGGTTTCCATAGCTGAATACTGGCAAAGGGTGGGATAAGCAAAGTTAAACAAGCTCATCACAGGATTTCTCAGAACCTTTATATGCTAATGTAAATTGTGAAGCTCTGAGAAAAGTCGATAAAAATACAGTTTTTAAAAAAACATTGGACTTTGGAACTTTATTGAGCTCATAAGGAAGGCCTCGTGCTCTGAAAAGTACACTTTGGGGAAAATAAAACCCATTTCGGAAAACAGTTAAAATGCCAATATTTAAAACTACCAGACAACCATACTAGTTTTCATGGGGAGTGACTGAGCTATAGCACCCTTTACTCCTGCTAGCACCAATTTTATGTCCCCAGGCAGAACTATGACACTAATTATTTCATTTAAAAGTCTTGTAATTAAATACAATCATCCAATCTGGTGTTCTAAAGATATTATTGTAGCAAAATACACAAAACAACAAATATGTCAATTTAAATATTTAGGCAACTTTATTGTCTTTCCTCTTAAAGCCAGCATTACCATAAACCGGTATGTTTGTTTTTTTAAACAAGCTAACTTTATAAAGAAATCTGTCATCTAAAATAATAGAACACCATTTACAAATATGTGAAATGAGCACTGTATGACTCCTCGGATACTTGGAAATGAGGACATTTAAGGGTTTTTATTGTTGTTGTTTGTTTTTTAAATATAAACATTCCCTCCACTCCACACTGGAGTCAGACACGCTGTTAACTCTGAGAGGCACCTCCAGTCTCTGTAACTCCTCATTCAAGTCCACTGTCGACCTCTCTTACCTATCCTCTTACTTCATTTCAGACTTACTTTTACCGTTTCTTAAAGGGTTAGCTTTTAGGCACTGGTAAAGCAAAGATTCTGCTGCTGCTCTGTCACTTGCTGACAGCAGCTCCTAACACTTTTGTTCATATTATTTTTTTCCAAGAGACATATGAATTAGAAGTAAGAGAAAATCAGTTGGATTTAATTTTAAAATTTTTATGTTCCATATTTCTATTCTCAAACCAGCATGTTTTCCTTAGCATCTCCAGGGTAAGGATGGGTTCAGTTAATAGTCTGGTTTACCTTCAGCCAGAACTAGAGCTCAGGAGAGTCATTCATTGACTTTTGTAAAATATCTGAGAACATCACTAACCTGGATCTCGGTACCAGGCTTATTTCCCCAGTGTAGGCCTCGTCTGTAAATTTCTTTTAAATCCCAAATAATTTTTAATAAAATAGTCTTAAAACTGCCCATGTAAGGGTTTACTACGTGATATTAAAGCATATCTGACCTCAGAAATTCCCGCCTCACATCCACACATACTTGTCATGGTGTGCAGTTTTATAGAAACAGTTCGTGTTATCACTGTAAAGAGATTCCTCTAAAACAAACTTCTATTCAAATGTTAAGTTAAATCACAACTACACCTAACTCACAACTATACCCAAATTTACAAGGGAAAGGGAACTTTGGGGCTGTGATTGAGTTAAGATGATCTCAGATTATCTAGGTGGGTCTAATGTAATCACAAAGGTACTTAGAAGCTGTCAGGCAGGAGAGGCAGAGAGAGAGAGAGAGAGAGAGAGAGAGAGAGAGAGAGAGAGAGAGATTTAACCAGGAAGGGGCCATGAGCCAAGGAATGCAGGCAGCTTCTAGAAACTGGAAACAGATTCTCCCCTCAGAGCCTCTAGAAGGAACCAGCCCTGCCTATAGCCAATGAGACTGAACCAGCCCTGCCTATAGCCAATGAGACTGATTTGAGACTTCTAAGCTCCAGAAGTGTAAGGAAATAAATTAGTGTTGCTTTAAACTAGTGTTTAAGTTTGTGGTTATTTGTAACAGTAGCAGTGGGAGACTGATAAATTATACCTCAAAAAAAAACACTAACAAATTTAATAAAATATGATAATGGAATATATTTACTATAATAGTGTGAATAAGAGTGTGGTTTGGCTAAAGCAATAGTCCTGCACCAGAGAGATGTGACTATGACATTTGCTAACTTTGTAGTCTCAGACATGTTAATTTACTTTTTGGAGTATGTTATCATCTGTAAAATATTTCCAATAATACATCCTAGGAATTATTGTGCAGATTCAGGGATATAACATATGATACACTTAGCTTATTCTTAACACTTCATACACTTTCAATAAATGGTAACTATTGTTTTATAGAAACCACCTGATTATCAGGTATCATGGGAAGTTTTTATGTTAGAATATGTTACAAATACTATGGAAGATATTTCTTCAGTAACCTCCAAGCACTACTGTGTGGCTATATATATATGGAAGGAATCTAAATCATTTTTCTAGAATGAATATGGAATATATATAATGAAATGTATGTAATGTATATGAAATATGTGTGTTTGTATATGGTTTATATGCAAAAGTTATATGAGAGTAGTTCCAGGCTATTGCTTTAAACTATTATATATACAGTGGGGCCTTGACTTACGAGTGTCCCGACTAACGAGTTTTTCGAGATACGAGCCATTTCTCGGCCGATTTTTTGCTTTGAGTTGCGAGCTAAAATTCGGGTCACAAGCCAGCTTCAGATACCCCACCGCTAGTTGGCGCAGCGAACGTCACAGTGAACGCCACACATCAGCCCAGCATCACGTGTCTCACTCGTTCACTGTTGATTTGACATACGAGTAATTTGAGTTACGAGCTCCGTCATGGAAGGAATTAAACTCGTAAGTCAAGGCCCCACTGTATATATAAAAGGTTAATATGCAAAGTGTCCCCTTGGGAGTTCGACCGGGAGTTCTATTGCTCACTATGATGTGCACTGACCACCAGGGGGTGGCACAGAATGAAGGAAGGCCCCAGCCAGCAGCCGGAAGGCCCCAGTCGGCCCTGATTGCTGGCCAGGCCTAGGAACCCTACCCATGCACAAATTTTGTGCACCGGGCCTCTAGTTGGATTATAAAAAGTATTAGTATTAGTCTGACATATGTTACATCCTTTAAGTAGTCTGTGACTAAATTATCCTGCAAAACAGCTTCTGAATCTAAATCTTAGTTGTATATAATGAACATGTGTCCGACCTGATTTTCTGTCCCTATTTTGGGATCTATGTAGGGAACTGGTTCATTGCATGTTCTTGCATTTGTGTTAATGAATTTAGCATAATATACACGGCGTCTCCTGACACATGGTTTTGAATGTGGTATGCTCTTTCCAGGCTCTTTTTCATGTTTGAGTTCCTCTTTTTCAGTTTTATACACTATGCCAGCATCTTCTACTTTATGCTGTCTGAAAAACAGAGTAAAATAGTAAATCATTTATCTCAATGAGCATTTCAGTACTGAGTTATAATTATATAAGAGTTAAATATATTTCAAGTGTCAGTCAAGACTATTAGCCTTTATTATAGTTAATAAGGGGCTCAGGCTATTAAAATTTGAGAGGGCATCTTCTCACTCTAAATTATATGAGATAAAGGGATTTGTGTGAATAATGATTATTTATTCCAATATACCAGTGCAGTGTACGGACTCTCGCTGGGAGTAGAAGAGTAGTGATTTGATCACACTTACGAAGCATGTTTGCAGTATTTTGTCATGTGGCTGATACTTATTAATCTTAACTCATCTTTAAAAATTAGTTACCTAGTAAATTCATCCATCTGGATGAGGAAGACTATTTAATTTTAAAAGCTCACCTGGAAAACTTATAAAAACTACCAAATGACCAAAAGAATTAATCAAGAAAAGACCACTGTGCAGGCATCAAAGCAATTCAATTTCTTATCACTTTTTGCTTCTAATAACTATACTGGTATTAAAAAAAAAAGAAAGTTACTGAGTTCTTTAAAATGTTAAAGAAATGTCTAGAAGGAAATAGTTTATAGATTTTTCTTCTTTTAAATAAGTTGTAATAGACATCCTAAAAGGGAGTATTTTAAATGCCATGTACTTGAAAAGTAAAGGTAAGAATGGAACATGTGAATTAGAATACTTTTACATAGAAGCTTTTAAAATATAATCCCTTAAAATATAATCCCTCCCTTACTTCAAACCAAAGACAAGTCCGTCTCCTTTATCCAGTCCTTTTCCAGTCAAACGCTCCAATATCTTTTCATCGCATTTACAATAAATACTGCCTTCATACCGTGGCTCTGCGGTCCTGGGAGACCCTGTCCAGCTAAAGTCTTCAGTTGCACTCAAGCCTCTCTCGACTCACTTCTCCAGCCCCCCTTCCTTCAGCACCAGTCTTGTTCCCCTCGGGTATTTGCACATCCTGCCTTCCCTCTGCCTGGACTGGCTCGTTCCCAACGCCTGCCTCCCTGCACACCTGGTTCACTAACATTTACGTCTCAGCCTGGAAGTCATCGCAGAAGCGTTTCCTAAGGTTTCTCCTTCCTCACTCCATGTAGTCTCCATTTTAGTATTTCGTTCATGTCTTTCCTAACACCACAGTTAATTATTTATGTACCCACTTGTTGTTTACATGATTTTGGTACGCACTACAATACCTTTTACTAATCAATAAGTTCCATGAAGGCAAAGATTGTGTTTCATTTATCATTAGGTCCCCACCATCCGGACCATTATATATTAATGAGCCATTAAAAGATTTACTGCCACTAGTGAATCTCCTGGAATTGTTTTGCTCTGGCTTTGTGTTAGCGGTACACTCCCAGCCCTTACTCTAATACACACAAACACCATTCAGCACCCTTGGATCCTACTTCCTGCATCCCAACAAAAAGTGCTCTCCGTAAAGGATTTGGAAAAGCTGATTCCTGGTAAAGTGTAAATAACTTCTAAGGCTTTTCCTATTACCTTTCCATAGATAGAAACATTAATTTAAAGGTTGTGATTGATTCGTCATTGTAGACTTCTGACATTAGTTTTTTCCATCTGCTTCTCATAGCTGTAACCCAGCAAAATGCTTGTACTGGAACCGGTCCTTGGAGGAAAGGACTGTGTCTGTTTGCTTGCATACTTAAGCATCCACCCAATTAAGTACTCATGGTGTGAGTAACTAAACATCAGAATAATTCATTCCTTCAACAAATATTTTATTGAGTTATGCCTCTGGTGCTGTTGTGAGGCACTGAAGATGCACGAGTGATCAAACAAAAATCCCTGCCTTCACAGAGCTTACATTCCAGTGGGGAAGGCAGATGAAAAATAAAATAATAAGTAGAACACATACAGGCATACCTCGGAGATAGTGCCAGCTTGGTTCCTGACCACCACAATAAAGCAAGTATCACAATAAAGCGAGGTGTAATCTTTTTGCTGGTGGAGGGTCTTGCCTTCACTTTGTAAGAAATACAACCTCTGCGGAGCGCAATAAAGCGAAGCACCATGAGAAAAAGTATGCCTGTATTAGGTGGTGTTAAGTACTAAGGACAATACTAAAGAAGGGAATAGGGAGAAGGGAGTGCATGCATAGGGGAGGTAAGTTGCATTTTTAGATAGTGTGGAGGCTGCATTATGAAGGTGGCAAATGAAAAAGACAGGAAAGAGGAAGAGAACCCAGCAGAGTGAACTTTAGCTGCCAAGGCTGTGCCGCAGAAGTACAACTGTCTTCACAATGGTGCTCAAGGAGTGGGCCCTGGAGTAGCAACATTGGCATCAATTGTCAGCTTGTTAGAATAGGTCCTACCCCAAACTACTAAAACACAATCTCTGGCGCAGGTTCCCAGGAACCAGTTTTAACCAGCTCTCTAGGTGATTCTTATATACGTTAGAGTTTGAGGACCACTGTGCGGTGACAAAAATACAGGCTTTAGAAGCAGAGAGTACTGGCTCCACATCATAACGAGCCATGCAATCGTTCTCAAAATTTAGGATCCATCAGAATCACCTGGAGGCCTTGTTCAACCCAGATTATTGTGCCCTGCTCTTAGAGTTGCTGAGTCGGTATGCCTGTGGTGGGAAGCTTGCAACAATTGCATTTCTAATATGTTCCCAGGTGATGCTGGCCTGGGGACCACACTTTGAGAACCATTGCTGATGACAGCAGGAGGCCTGTGTGCTGGGGCAGAGTTGAGTCAGAGGGCAAGTAGTAGATAAGGCCAAGTAAGGGAAAAGGGGCCCGATGTGTAGGCCCCATAAGCCATTGTTGGAGCCTTAGCTTTTCCTTTGCAATGGCCAGTGGAGAAGAGTGATCTAATTTGCTTTGTAAAAAGCCCACTCGAGTGCTGTGTTGAGAAGGCTGGAAAGGGACAAGGAGCGAAGCAAAGGCCATTGTACCGTCCACGTAAGAGACGCTGGTACCTAGACCAGATGGGGTGATAGTGTAAGGCATTAATTGTGGTGGATTCTGGATATATTTTAAAGATAAAGTCTACATAATGGGGGAAAAGGAGGACCTATGTAATACTTTCAACAATAAAGATTTTTTAAAAATAAAAGAACTGAAAATAATAAAAAATAAAATTACATCATGTAGATATGGTGTGTGAGAAAGAGTGGATAATTCAAGATGACTTCAAGAATTTTAGGCCAGGCAATGCCTGTAAAGAACCTGACACACAGTAGATGCCCGGTAAACAGTGCGTTTTCAAAAGTAGTACTGTAAGTGCTCAAGTACTAGAAATGAGACAGTGATGGGGGACTGGAAGAGGAAAAGCCCTCCTACATGGAGGTGACTCAATTAACGGTCCCCCGAAGGAGGAAAATATTTTTTGGAAGGAAAAATAGAAAATCAAACCCCAGCACTTACTGCTGCTTATCCTCCTTTGCCTCCATGGGCTCCTAAGACCTGACATGAGGCAGCGAGGAGCCTCAGGGGTCGATCAGGGACTAAGCTCTGCCAGGAAAAGGGCATTCGGAGCGGCGATTGTGACTCAGCGTTGCTAAGCGACGGAGGCCTTTGGAAGCGCGGCCTGGGAACGCGGCGGGGGTGGAGGTGGAACCCGGAGCGCATGCGCAGTAACCGGGCTCCAGCTCCCGCTCCAAGGGTAGCTGGAGAGTCCACTGCTCCGGCGGCGGGCGAGGGAGGCTGGCCGGATCTCTCGGCTTCCTTCCCGGACCTACCCCAGGCTGGACACCCTGCGTTTGAACTTGGCTTTCCCGCAATCTGGCCAGGAAGAGTATTTATCAGGGCCCACCCCACCCTTGGGATCAGTGAGGGGCCGTTTGGAGCCTCCCCTTGGCCCTGGGGCGACGCTGCCAGTGTCCCGGTCCCGCAGCTAGAGTCTGTCTGGACCTCCCCCCGGAGCTGGGAGCTGCGGGAGCGGGCGGCAAAGTGCAGGCAGGAGGAGAGAAACTTGTTTTCCCGAGAGCCATTAAACACGGTGCAAGTCACGATTCGCTGCTCCTGGGCTGCCTAGTCTTTGCAGAGAAAGCTTGGCTCTCAGGGTTCACCATTTCTGACAAAACCCCTTTCCTGGGCCCTGCGGCAGCACTCAGATCTTGCCAATGAGACTCCCCGCGGTGCGTGCATCTGCTGCGGCCCCAGCCGGGTTCAGCGTCGGCCAGGGGACTGCGGGCTCGCGCGGCGGGTGGGGCCCTGTTCCTGTAGCGCTTATCCAAGAGAGCAAGCTCCAGGGAAAAGCAGCTGATGACCTGCCTCCACCTTCTGGCCCTGGAATTTCTTACCTCATTTCACCATCGCCTCCCAGTTTCCACTGCCAGAGCCAAATGTCTTTGGCATCTGTCGTGGTAACTCATGCATTTCCCTGGATGATGGGAGGAGAAAAATCCTTACTGAGTTGAATTCTGCTATGTGTTGGGCTATGTGTGCGCGTGTGTTTTGTGACCCAGAGTCAGTATTAGCTTGTCTTTACGTTTACCTTGAAGAAATGTGGGAGAGTGGAGGTTGGCCCTAGGACTCCTTGTACATATGTGAGCTTAAGTCCTATGAGGAAGAAGAGTATATGAATAGAAGTAAGACTTGAGTGTCTGGGAATGTGTGGTTATGTACTAGTATGTGTGTGTTTGGGGGATTAAGGGGTGGGAGGGTAAATAAATATGAAGACTGTCTTAAACACTGTATACAGTCATCCTCAATTTCCCTGTGGGATTGGTTCCAGGACTTCCCCACCCCACCCCCCACACCCAAATCTGAGGATATTCAAGTAAGTTCCTTATATAAAATGGCATTATATTTGCAAGTAACCCCACATATCCTCCTGTATACTTTAAATCACCTCTAGATTACTTATAATACCTAATACAATGTAAATGCTATGTAAATAGTTATACTGTATTGTTTAGGGAATAATGACAAGGAAAAAAGTCTGTACATGTTCAGTACAGATGCAACCATCATGGCCTAAATACACAGTGCACGTCAGCAAAAATGTAATATTTTTTATTTGCAATTGGTTGGATTCTGGGGCTAGAAACCTGAGGATAGAGAGGGCCAACTCTACTTAACTGGTTTTATCCTGATCATTATACTATGAATAGGGGCATATGCCCCGGCTCCACCACTCAGGAGCTGGTTTTCTTGGGCAGATGATCAAACTTCTGTGCACCTCAATTTCCTCACCCACAAAATGGGGTCAGTGCTTGGGGTGGTTGTGAGGTTTCGATGATTTACTACTGTCAGAGTATTGGAAGGAGCGCCAGACATCTCATCACTCGTTGGTCATTATTAGCTACTGTTTTTATTGAGCAATTTGATTGGCATATTTTACCACATGTCTTAAGGCTTAGTCAACGATCTCATCATTCCCTCTAATTTCTATTCCAGCCTTTACCAATCTCCTCAAACTCCTAAAACGACTCCGCATCAGGGACAATCCCAACTGCTTGATAAGAAGAAATGAGGACTTTTCTCGACTTTCTCCCTCTCAAAACAAACTCACCTGCAGCCGTACAGAATGACAGCTGTTCCGTTTCATTTTGAGTCTTGGAGTATTCGTCTAAACTGTAAGTATCGTTTTGTCAATCTCTCTCCAACTGTTATGTGGTTCATATGTGTGTATATTTATTGAGGGATATAGGGAACATTAAAAATACGTGCCTACCACAGTCACAATGTAGATATGGGTCCAAAACAGACATACAGGATATAACTGAGAGCAGCCATGATGCATAACCACATTATATAACCAATTGTTACAAGTATTAAATTTCAGTAGTGATGATAATACAGTATTATAAAAACTAGCCAGTTGTTTATGATTGATACGTCCTCTGACAAATAATGTAGATTTTAAAATAATACTTACATTTTCATGTAGAAAAAGCGCTGGACTGCTATTACTTTTTTCCTACTACTAACTACTGATCTGACCTAGGAGAGACACTTCAACTTCTCTGCTAGAGATTCTCACTGGTAAAAAGAAGTAGCCAGGTTACATCATCTTTGTGATCTCTTCCATCTGTAAAAAAAAATATATATATATATATATATTCTTTTTAAATATATTTTATTAATTTTTTACAGAGAGGAAGGGAGAGGGATAGAGAGTTAGAAACATTGATGAGAGAGAAACATCCATCAGCCGCCTCCTGCACGCCCCCTACTGGGGTTGTGCCCGCAACCACAGTATATGCCCTTGACGGGAAATGAACCTGGGACCCTTCAGTCCGCAGGCTGACGCTCTATCCACTGAGCCAAACCGGTCAGGGCATCTGTAAAATATATTGATTCTATTGGAAAATTTATAGCTGAAAGGCAGTGAACACACTAGCCTACATAATACATGCAGTTTTCTCATTTGTGTTAGGTAATTTGGATACTTGTCAGCCAAGAGTAATTCAAAGTAGTTTACTGATACTGTGCAAGTTAAAAATACCAATGCTATTTGAGCTAGAACACCATATGTGAGGAAACAAAATAGGATGGAAATGGCTCATCCAAAATGTTATAGATGCAGAAAATTGTCACCACTTTTTTTTGAACCGTAGGAAAATGCCAAAAATAACGAGTGGTATGTCTGTGTGACCTGGTAGGAAAGCTGAGGCCCAGGTGGCCCCAGCTTCCTCTCAGTCATTTCTTCAGCGATGTACTTGTGATACAGGTAAGGACCTCAAAGATACAGCATAAACCAAAGCTATCTTTAATTTCTTTTTTTAAAGATAGTTTATTTGCCTGATACACATGTGTTATAAGGGTTACATACATGCAGAAGACTTATCTTGCTCATGGTAAGCACTCATTAAGAGTTGGCTGTTAGTATTCTTCCTATTATAATTAGTACAGTAGAAAGTTCAAGTGCATACATTACATTGTTTTTATTTCATGACCTTAGGTTATAAGAATTTTATCAAACTCAAATACACATTAGGGGGCAATGGGAATGACAGACGTTAGCATTAGATTTGCCTATCTTTGAAGATGGGTAGGTTCAAATGAATTACAGGTATAAAAGGGACCCTGAACTTTCTTCTGGTATAAGTTCGAAGCTGAGTGATTTTTAAGAGAGGGAGAGAGACATTACAGAACAAATAATCATGAGGTGTTGCATCTCCTGAAAGGTAAACATCTCTAGTATAAATCATATAGATCACTTCTGATATACGTGATGCTGGACATGTGCCTGGGTATATTTGCATTTGTTCATATAGCTGTATAAATAAATAAAAATTGAATTTTATGAAATCTTTTGAGATAACTTACATAAATACAGTCAGCTTGAGTTGCTCCAAAATCATTGTTAGTCATCTCTAGTTTTGCTATTCACCTGATTGAAAGAAGAAGCCTGTATATACTTTATGAATTTGGAGAGTTCTAGCAGAGTGATCATGTAGTAAAGATTGGTGGAATGAATAGCCACAGGCATATAGCTTCTTGAGGAATGAACATTGCAAAATGAAAGATTGTTGGAGTGTCACCATTCTCAAAAGGTTAGGAATCACCAGTTTAAGCTGTCTAGTTTTGATGGTGTGTGTGTGTGTGTGTGTCTTGTAGCAACCTAAAGGCTATTTTTCTTGTTCATTTAAAGAATTCCAGGTCTTGCCCTAGCTGGTTTGGCTCAGTGGATAGAGCGTTGGCCTGCGGACTGAAGGGTCCTAGATTTGATTCCGGTCAAGGGCACATGCCTGAGTTGTGGGCTCGATCCCCAGTAGGGGGAGTGCAGGAGGCAGCCAATCAATGATTCTCTCTCATCACTGATGTTTCTATCTCTCTCTCCCTCTACTTTCCTCTCTGAAATCAATAAAAATATATTATTATTAAAAAAAAAAGAATTCCAGGTCTATGTGATCATCTTACAGGCTATCTTATAATCTAATTATTGAGAAATACAACATGTATTGAGCATCTTGTCTACTCTGGCTTATTCTCACTGGGCCATGAGATTTTAGTTTATTCATTTGAGATCCTTTGCACCTAGAAAAGTACCCTGCAGATAATACGCCCTATTAATGAGATTGACCTAGAAAAATTCTTCCTTATATCCTACAAAATACACACAACTTTTAATTTTTAAAAAAATATATTTTATTGATTTTTCACAGAGAGGAAGGGAGAGGGATAGAGAGTTAGAAACATTGATGAGAGAGAAACATCGATCAGCTGCCTCCTGCACATCTCCCACTGGGGATATGCCCGCAACCAAGGTACATACCCTTGACCGGAATCGAACCTGGGACCCTTCAGTCTGCAGGCTGACGCTCTATCCACTGAGCCAAACCAGTCAGGGCGCACACAACTTTTAATTTTTAAGTGTTTTCTTATGGACACAGATAATAATTGTGTCAACAAATTCCTCAGAGAATCTCCACATTTAAAAAATGGTAATTAAAACTTCATTTTAAGCTAAGCAATTCAGTTCTTCAATGTTTGCCCATAAAATCTACCTTTGATCCCTTTTGATGGTACAAATTGCCATGGCTGTTCTTTTCCTAGGGCAGAAGAACTAATATTTATTGACTTGGTGAGTTAGACCTTAGTTTAAATCCTAGCTCTGTTATTAAAACTCTGAGGCTCTGGGCAAGTGATTTAAATTCTTTGAGCTTTAGATTTTGAATATGTCTCTTGTTAAGCTTTACAAAAATAAACGAATAAGACCCCAAAAGAGTAGGGATAAAGGAACTTATTTTGTAGGGTTGTTATATGAAATAATACATGTGTAAAGCACCTGGCACAAAGTAGGCACTCAGTGAGTATTATTTCCTACCACCCTCTCTAACCCTTACCCATTGTCGGAGCATCCAGCTGGAGTGTGATGCAGCTAGGACTTGATTTTGGGTCCACTTCTGTTTCTTAGACCTCATTGCCTCTACATCTAGTTTCTCCACCTCTTACTTTAAATAGTGGCAATAAAAATTGAGTGTAAAATTCTAAAGAGGTCTTCCTAATGGAAAGATTAGGAACACTATGGTATGAAAGTGGGTGCAAATAACAAGAAAGACAAAAATTGGCCCAAGTTATGAGTCCATGGCGAATGAAAGCTTTTCAAGACAGGAAGGCTGTGATGGGGGAGAACATGATAACTGTTCAGTGATGGTGGGGTGGGGGGGTGGAACACCTCAATACACAATGCGTTTTGGCCAGTGTGCAGTAGTTAGAGCTGGCGTTTAGGTTCTATGGTTGGTAAAACAGAAACAACAGCAATCAAGAATAAGCACACAGAATCACTTAGACTCATGAACTTACATAGTGCCACAATTTAAGACAAAGCTAATGAACTGATAGACAATGGTAATTTTTTTTATATGAATGAATGGGTGGATCTGTGATAAATTTAATAATGCTTTCTTTCTGTAACAAAAGTGAAGAGTTAGGAGATAACTTGAGCTTCCATTTAAAGAAAAAGGAAGGTTTTAACTGAAAGGATATATATATATATACCTAAAAGGAAATCACAGTTGAAGTTTTAAATAGAAAAGTGCAATACTTTTCATTAGTAAGGGCTAGTTTAGTTCACCTCAAATACCTAATGGTATCGCAAATAAACATTTTACAAGTCATCACTTTTAAACTATTATTCCAATCTATCTTTCCCCCCTAATGTGATTATAATGGTATTATGTGCTTCAAGTTATAGTTAATTATTTCGGTTTTTATAAGCTTTTTAAGAGTTTGGAAACTTAGCCATGTTTTTTATCCTCTTATAAGTTTGGAAGCAAACTACTTACCTGATTGCAGTTTTCTCTTTCTTTACCAACTTCTGAGGCTTTAATAATGCATTGTAAGATTCAGGAAAAGAGATCTTACAGGATTTCCCCATGCTTTAAGAGAAGATAGGCAACATTTGGAGGAAATCTGGCATGTCTGCAATTTTTTTGCCATGTAGAGAATAGGTACGGGAAAGGCTACAGTCCTTACTTTATCTGGATCATGGCTAGTCAAACTCATGGCACCAGGGGAGCCTTGTGAGCCATTGTTGTTGCAGGTAATGAGTTACCACAATGAATACAAAGCTGGGCTCCGGTGTTGGAAACCTAGGTCGGGCAAGTCTGACCTCTCTGAGTCTCCGTGCTTTTGAAAGGAGCAGTTTCACATGAAAGAGCTTTGTTAAACTGCCCTTCCTTAAATGCATCAGTTGGGCCTTGCTAGTGAACTAACATCACCTTCCTGGGGTAGTTCCATAGAACAAGGCAACTCCTGGAAAATGCGTTTTGCATCAGCATATATTTTGCATCAGCCTCTTCTGCAAAACTTTTCATTTTGCTTTTTGTTTATATTTTAGGTTCTGTTTGTTGGTTGAGCCTTCTATGAATCCTTATCTTAAGCCAGAGTTCATCTCTGTGAGAATGTCAGGCTGAGAAGCTCATCCACAAGGTGATCTCCCAACTCCCGCTTCCCTCTCTGCACATGGGCCTGAATAGTGTGGACAATAGGATCAAATAATTACCTTCAGACTTTTGCTTTAACTGGAATGTGGTTTGATGGATGAGAACAGAAAACCTCACTAATGGGAAAATATAGTAATTCTAAGTATGTTATTTCCCTAATGATTGCTTCCAGTTATATAAAATAAAATATATGGAAACCATATAATTTTATCTTGAGCATACTTCATGGGGTTATATCCTAAACTTATTATTTTCTTTCTATCATTTTCTATTCATATATAGTATTATGAGACTTGTGATTTTTTTTCTGATGGCTACTACTCTTTAAACTTTTTATCTTTACCTCTCTAAGAAAAAAAATGTTTATACTTTTTTTACTTAAATCCAGGATAGTCTTCTTTCTGAACTGAATACTGTATAAATAGAACTAAAATTTTGCTTCCTTTTTTAAAATATTCTCTTTGCTTCTCATTCATATATGAAGGGATATAACCAAACTGTGCCCTGGATTGAAACCGCTTCTTAGTGACATGGCTTTGAGCAAGTTTTTATCGTTCTGAACCTTAGTTTCCTCATCTGTAAATGCTAGTAATTGCTGTACCGCTTTCCTCAGAGTGCTTTTGTGAAGCTAAAAGACTCCCTGGCACATGGTAGGTACTCAGCCACTTGCTATCTATTAGCATCATTAAGAATATAAGGGTCTTAAAGGTTGAGGTGGTCTCATATGCGTCTGTGTGCCGAGCCCCAGGCACAGTGGGGGCGTCTGGCAGACTCTCAGTAGCTGTCTCCTGAATGAATGGCAGAAGCATCCGGTCCGTTTTGTATGGTCCCTGCTCTTCCCCTGCCAGCCACTGCTTTCCCCTGCTTCTGGAACTGCTCGCTGAGAGTTATGGGGAGACTGGACTCACTGGAGTGTCCTGAGACCTTACTGTTTAGGCAGGAAAGACTTCATGTGTTTCATCAGCTGCATATTTTTTCTCTGGTAGTTTCTCAGCCCCGTCTGGCTTTGGACTTCACACTCTCAAAGGGCTTAAATCTTAGTTTGGACACTGGCTCCACTGACCTCACAGCCCCACAGCTTGGCTGCTCTGGTCCAAACAGTCTGTCCATCCTCACTTCTGTTTTACTCGGCTCATGGAGATAGTTTTACTTAGGTGAACTGCTTTCCCTCCTATTTGGGGAGAAGAACTTATTTTAGCCTCAGCTCTTGGGTTAGAAGGAAATTGTCGCTGCATTTCTGGTATCCCTCTCTCCACCCACTTGCACTGCTCTGGAGAACAAACTCATCAGCAGACTGTCAGAAATGGACATTGCCTGGGACATTTCACTAGAGCAGTGGTTCTCAACCTTCCTAATGCCGCAACCCTTTAATATAGTTCCTCATGTTGTGACCCCCAATTTCATTGTTACAAATTGAACATAAAGCATAGTGATTAATCACAAAACACTATGTAATTATATATGTGTTTTCCGATGGTCTTAGGCGACCCCTGTGAAAGGGTCGTTCGACCCCCAAAGGGGTCTCGACCCACAGGTTGAGAACCACTGCACTAGAGGGTGGGCTCATTGTATTCAAGGTCAGTACTCAGGGATGTCACACCCTTGCCCTCTCTGGCTCCGCTGGCCTGGCCATCCCCACCCTCTTGTTCTACCTGCAGCTGGATGCAGCCGATGGACCTGTCATTCATGACCATACAGCTATTTGGAAAGAGGGTATAGAATCTTAGGGATGGTGCATAGGAAGTAAGAAGGCTCACCTTGGCCTACTGCCTTAACTTAATTTCTGTAATCTAGCTTTTTCTCAAGTTCTCCATTGTCGCTAGATCTTTGTTCCGTTAATGAAATCAGTACTTTGTCGCTACTTAGCTATCATTTCTTGTCTGTATACTCCTTCAGAGAGAATCCCAGAATGCGACCAAAGCCTCATGCAAAATCAAACCCTTCACACCATTCTCCATCTAGACCAAGCTACTTCACTAAACCTGTATAGCCAGCCACCAGAAGGATCTTTTTCTAAATTGGGACCTTTTATAGTATTAAGAGATATAGCCGATTCTAACCACCTCCTATTCACCCAATTGATGAGGAAGAGGTTCCTGCCCTAGGATTTTGGGGTGGCAGAACACATGACACCCAACACTGGCAGCAGTTTTTAGCGACATGTACCACAGCCAAGGGGTGTAGGACACCATGCTGCGCGGGGCCACATGAGAACGGAACAACAGAGGCCGTGGGAGGCAGGCTTCGTAGTGGTAGGAGGATGAGGTCACCTCTGGTTTCCACTGGAGGATGGGATTGGCTTGTGAAATAATTTTGCAGGCTGGCGAGGAACTGAACCTCGCTATTTAGGGATGGGCAGGAGGTGCATCTGGTCCCCGGTAAGAGGGGTGGTTAGGGGATCTTCTCCGTGGGAGCGAGTGGGGAAGAGAATGGGCGTCTGAGGCCCTGCAAGATGTAAGGCAGCACACAGTATCAGGCCTGAATGTTAGGACTAACGCTACACAAGCCACAGTACCATGACATCATTTGTTTATTACCTGGGAATTTTACTCTAGATCTGTGATTGTGAATGTCTTGTTTCCTAGTCAGGTTGTGAGCTGCTTAGGGACAGCCAGCACTTAAAAAACAACGCACGTTATGGGTTGGAAAGACATGATTTGCATTAAAATCATCTCTCTGTCATATCTCAAAGTGATGTTTACAAATTTAATCATACAAATACCATTTAAAACACCCACATTTTGTCTTTGGACAATGTTAATTGTAATCTTTCAAAACGTTTACTGCTAAAGGATGTGCTGGTCGAATTTGTCCTTGTATTGGTAGCGTTTGCACTCATGCCTGGCAACGATGCCCGTGTATACACATCCCGCCGAGTTAAGCCCTGTGATGTGCCCTGGACGGACAGCTCTAAACATGGAGAGCCACCCGCATTTGATGACATGTGGAAATAGCTAATGCTTTTCCCCCCACTCTGTCTTCAAACAAAGGGTGAAACAATAAAATGAATGGGGCGTTGGCATTCTTTTTAAAACCAGAGTTAAGCTATAGCTTAAATCCCAGAATGCTGAGGTCTCAGATGTATTATTCAGACTGCATATTGGAGGCACTAGTGGGGCCCAGTAAGAGGTTTATTGTTGCTAAATTGAAACAAACTGGTATGAAGGAGGGATGAGGAAGAGGTCATAGACAGATGGGGAGAATTTACAGTATGTCCTCTCAATTTTCTAAAAATCTAATATTAAATCGTTTATTCATCTCAATTTTGGTCCATTAAGGTAATTTTATTTTCTACTTTATTAAAGTATTTGTTAAAGTATATGCAACCATAAATGCAAAGCTCTTTCCCTTTGAAAATTATGATATACAGTTAGGCAAATGACAACGTTTTGACATATAACTGATTTTTATATTTTTCAGAGTAATCCATTATGTCTCTGACATAGAATGTCTTTTCTTGTATTTTTTACAAAGAGTCCAATTTAATACTAGATCCATCACAGTGCAGAAAAACGGAGTGACTGGATTACAGCAAGTATAGACAACATTTTTGGAGGAGTTTATCTGTAAAAGGGAGAGAGATGTGGTGGTAGCTAGAGGGGTCAGAGAGGGAGACATTAATAGCATGTTTGTGGACTGATGGGAAAGAGAAATTCAATAGGAAATGGAAATGGACGATGTAAGAGTGAGAACTGCAGGAGCGGTGACCTGGAGGAAGTGGGATCCAGGCATTGCCTTATGGGAGCATAGACGGTTCATCCACAGTAAGAGGCAGGAAGGTAAGGGAAGCCCTTGGGCACAGATGTAGGCAGGTAGGCAGGTGCAGTGGGGGAGGCTTGTGGACGTTCTCTTCTGCTGGAAATAGGAAGCAAAATCATGGCTGAGTGAGGAATTGCTATGAAATGGTTGTCGAGGAGAGTAGGGGAGTTGATGGCTTAGAAAAACCGAAGCCTTGCTGGGCAGCCATTAGGTTCTTCTTGAGGTGAATGCTAGAGAGTTCTTACCTTGAAATTTTTTTTTTTTTTTAGCCAGGCTTTATGTAGGAGCCTCTTTTCAGTAATTTTTGCTTAAAACTCAAGCCCTTCTTAGCTGTATAACTTTACACTATATGATTTATAGCTTTTTAACTCAAGAAAGTTTTCTTCTATCATGAGTGAGTTTTCCTTCTGTTTTAACTCTGCCCCCCGCACCCCCCCCCCCAATGAACTTCTAATATTGATTTACTGATGGGTTAGATATGTGCCCTCATTCCTCTAAATTAATCATTTTCACACTCACATTTTCATTTCTTTGTTCTTTTACTTTTTTGATAAACTTTTTAGATTTATTCTCTACCCTGGTGTTCCCTGAGCTTTGCAGATTGTCCAGAGCACCAGGGGATATTTTTAAACATGCAGGCTCAAGGACTAAAACCATGAAAAACCCTGATTTATCAGGTCTGGAGTGGGGCCTTGTAGTAAGTATATTTAAAATGCTATGTAGATAATTCTGATAATCAGCTGGGGTTGGCAGCCACAGCGCTGTGTCACTAATGAAACTGGCCAGTGACTAATTCCAGGATAGATTGCAACTTTCCTGTTCCCTCTTGGGTTTCCTATAGTTTCCATCGCTAAGTGTGTAATCGCATGTGTGTGTTGGCTTCTCTTCAGAATGTGGTTTTTATATTTCAAGTAATTTTCCTTAATTCATACATTTTCTTTTAATCTGCACACATTCTCCCCAGTGGCTCCCTGCTCTGCTTTCAAAGATCAACTTTTACTACATGCCATAGAGGACATAGCATATGTTCCTGAAACTTTATTTTTTCTTACAGCTTTTAAAGATACGTACTTCCCCTGGTTCCAAAGGATAATGTTCCATTTGCCTTGGGTATGGCATTTTTTTGAATTTCAGGGCTGATTTTTGTTTCTGATTTATTCATCTTTTCATGAGGAGAGTTTGGTTAGACACTGCATTTGCTGACAGAGTGTATCCTCCTCAGGTCTAAGGCCTTGGAATGGTTGATCTGCCCTAATCTAGTATCCTGATCTCTAGGAAACTTAAATATTTGTTTAAATTATGAAATACATCATACACGTAAAAGGATGTGTAAAGTAAGTTATAAAGTATCAATAGACG